GGGATTGTATGCAGCAGTAATTTACTGGAGGGAAAAAAACAGAAAAAAAGAATATACTTCAAAAAAGCTTGCTATGCATAAGGCCAACAGACTTCTCCTCCTCAAAATTTTTTTTCTTCTCAGTCATGTTGCTTGCAGCTAACCTAGTAAGTAGGCAGCTGATGAATTTCTCACCATTACCTGTTCTGTTCCTGATATTATCCTACTGTAAACTTGACCTTTCCTGTGCATATACTGAAACTATGTATTGTCTCTTGTCCTTTACTTGGGCTTTCAGCTCTTTAAGGTTAGAGACTATAGTTTTGTTATGAATATGTAAGGCAGCTGATACCAGAAGACCGTAATTCTTGGTTTGGATCCTGAAGCCCACTTATAGCACAAAAAAAAAATTTACATAAATCACAAAAACCTTAAAAATCAATCTGTATCTACCTAAAACAAAACAAAACAAAACAAAAAGCTTCGTAAAAATTCTGGTTTTCAACCCTTTTCATTTAAAAAGCTATTTTTAGAAAAGCTTCCTATCTATGTATTTTCTAGATATTGTCTAATATCGCACAAAAATACTTACAGTTCGTAAGAGTTTAAGAGGAAACTTAGAAATTCCATCACAACAATTAGTGCAGAAGCAGAGTGCATTGAAGGTTTCACGATGAAATCCTGCTTCTCAACAGATGAAAGAAACACCTTTCTTTCATATTCTTTATTTCTCATGCTATTTTTTTTTCTCTAGTCATTTTTGCTTTTACTTCAAGACTTTCCATGCTCTAATTCTCCCTGGGTAGTTCTATTTTTTTCAGTGCATTCAACTCATGCAGTTTTCTTCTATCCTACTAGCACTATGTAGAGAATTAATCAAAATCTTTGATTTATTTCAAATCTCAAATTGAATGATCCAGCATTATTTAGCCACCTTTCAGCGTTCAAAGGTCCTTATTTAACACATATCTAAGAGAGAGGTATTTAGTCTATATAACTGCAATTTCTACTAGGCAACTACATTTTGTATGCAAACTTGGAGCATTTACACAACAGACTGATAGCAAAGTCCTTCAGTTTGTTGTAATTTTGGGGTTTTGAGCTTTTTCCCCTTACATTTTAGAAATGTCAAAACTTTTTTCAGGAGAACTTTAGCTCAGATCTTCCCATCCAGTACCAAAGTGTATAGGTCAAACCTTTGTATCTGCAGATCAGCCCATGGCTATGTTATTACAAAAGCAACCTGTTCATATCAAAAATTGCCTCAACTCTTGACTGTCATTGGCACAGCAGAATGATGGTTTTTGGCTGCCAGAGATCTTCAACAACTGCTGAGAAGTGTTGTCTTTACCACCTAAGAGACACATCCTTTTGCTGAAATGAATATCCAAACAAACAAAAAGATAATTCTGAGGAAAACTAGAGAGAAGAAATTGCATAGGTACAGTTAAAATACTATGCAGATGACAGAGAAAACCCTAATCCAGAAAACACATAAAAAGGGCCTTCAAAAAAAAAAAAAAAAGAAAAAAAAAAGAAATGAGGCAGCTGCAAAAAAAGCTCACCTATAAATGGATATTTGTGCTTAAATATCTTGCAAATCTTGAGTAAGAAGCGACTGTAAGATGATATAATTTCAAATTCTATTTCTAACCAAGACTCTATGGTTTAGCATGGCTTTAGAAAAGCTGAAGAAAACTGAAATAGAAGGACATAAATATACAAATAGAAGTGGCTATGACTTGAGAGATTGAAGGAGTTACATTTAAGAGCACAAATATTAGACAGATTTAATCAAAGAACATACCCACTCATGCTTTGTGACAGATGTCTTATCCTTTGACAGAGACTTCTGGACACTACAGTTATATTTGTTCTGGCTAATGAACAAAAAAATTAATACATGCTCTACTTTAGAAAATAAAAAAACCCTGGAAAATATAACATCCTATGAATACTTCACAGATGACTGTGTAAGCAAATGGAATTATTCAGTGCCTCTGAACATGGTAGGAATGTTATCAAAGGAGTTATAGAAAGAAACATTAATGCAATTCATAAGCTAAATGCTATTATTCATTAGTAAGTGTCCTGTAACAGCAGGAAGATACTACAAATGAAAATACTCAACAACAACTTAAATAGCACATTAGTGGCCAAGATGAAGAGATTAGTCTTGTAGTAATGCATGGGCCAAGGATATTACAGCATCCTTTTCTTGTCTTCTATTTCCTGTGATTGTCTCAGTAAAAACACAGACTTAAGCTTCAAAGTTTTAGGGAAAGGAAAGACTTAAGAACAGAGTATTGGAAGAAGGTGTAACAAATATCTGGCAACTCAGTTCTAAGTGGAACATTATATAAACAGGTAACAACTTCCACAAATGAATCACATCTCAACTACTCTTCCATCTTACTTTGCTCTTCCACTGCCATTCACTCCTTTGTTTCTTTGCTGAAATCAACTTGTATGCACTAGGATCATCAGATTTAGAGCTCTTCTCAATTCTCTGGGCATTCAGAGGTAAACAGCAACAATTCTTTCTGTTCTATCTTCAATAAAGGGCAAGAGTTCCTCCTGAAAATTAGAGTTTTCCTGACACAATCAGTAAACCCAGCTAACAGCTAAAAACATTAGCATACACAAATACGTATGTAAGTATAACCTGATCTTAAATATCACATGCATAAGCACTATAATTGAATTTCTTGGATTTAAAACTGCAGTTTTCAAATGACATTATTACCTGCTTTTGTACATTGTGCTAGTATATAGGACACATGTCAATGTTAATTTCTTTTGACAGAACTATTAAAGCAGTGAATTGTCTGTATTGGTTGGCTGTGTTCATACGATCACGTTGCTTATTTTACTGACTCTTTTACAACACAAAAATTTGAAGAAGTTGCGTTTGTCACAGTAAGTTCGGTGATTTTTAATAAAATAAATTTGCTTCCACTTTGTCTAAGTCTAAACCAAATTAAACAGTATTAACTTGGACACCACAGTCTGTATCATGTAGTATGTGGCCTGCCTGAATAATATTATCCTGTTAAAAGTGCACATTAGTGTCAGAAACAGTATGAGTCACAGGAAATGCATACTTTTAAAATAAACCAGTCTCCTATGATGGGTACTCTTATTTTTAATTTGAAAGTGAGTTTCTTTTCTAGAATTAGATGTGTTAAGCGTTAAGAAAAACGCTGTCACTGGCAAATTTTGTGCACTGAATGAAACAGGAAATGCCAAGTTCCAGGGCCTCACAGAAAGTCTACAGCCATTGCAGAGGGGACAGCATGAACCAGGCTCTGAAGGTCTGCCAAAGCCAGTTCCCATCCTTTTTCAGCAGTGAACACTCATCTTGCAAACTCTCATGAACCAGTTCTTTGCTGTAGGAATTTGCTTCTGTGAAAGCTATAATTAATTTGATAAATGAAGATTTTTCATACTTAAAAAGAAACTTTTTGCATCACCATATAATCAGGAGATCTCATCCTGAAAGACTCTTAAGTGTGGCTTCACGTATATTTGTTAAACAGCATACTGGATTCAACAGCAAGGATGCCCCAGAAGCTTTGTGACATGGAAGCTGAGGTTAAAGAAAATGTCACTTTTATTCTGGTATTTGCCTACAAAGTCCATTTGAATTTGTTTTCAAGACAAAGGGATCTTGAAATATCAGTCAGAATCATTAGCTGTTTCTCGACAAAATGTGCAAAACTGAGTGTGTGTGCTTGTGTGAAAACAACAACTATTCTCATGTTGTAGACCCAAAAAGGAACATCATTGCAATCCCCCATTTCTAAATCTTATATGCAAATCACAGAAAGGCTGATTAAAAGTGTTTTATGGAGTTATGCCAAATAGGGAGGAAACAAAGCTGGAATGAATATGCCAAACTGGGTGGGGGTGATTTAAAGCCTGGATACAAATTGTAGCTGCTGTACCTGCCCTTCCCACCATCACCAGCCTGCCCAGCCTCCGGCCTCAAATATTGTAGAATTTGAGAGAATTTTACCAGAATCCTCATCAGGATCCCAACTTCAGAGTAGCAATATTAACAATCTGCTGAACTGAAAGCCTGGCTTTTAAGTGTACAGAATTAGTATTTTTAAAGGATTATTTCTTTAGTTGTAATTTTTCTTAGTTGTAACTGAATGTCAATACAACCAATTTATTTTATGACAAAACTATGGCCTGTAAAGAAATGAGGTGGAGCACCAAAACAGCAAGAAGTCCAGGAGAAAACCAAAAACAAACTCAAAAACTTTCATTAAGGAAACAGCAGCTTAATCCTGTTTTGAAGTGAGTGTAATTAATTCAGGGATTAATAAAAAGACTCCATAACAAAGATCTCAAATGCTACCAAAACCAGCTTGTTTCCATTCTGAATCTCTCTTTTTATTTGTAAAGACTGGCATTACAATTGAAAAGGACTCAAAATGGAGTGATGTACACATCATTGGTGTTTCATGATGCAACTGATGGAGTCCCTGAATGGATATTGCTTCAGCTTTGCTTTTAAAAAATAATTTAACAGGAAAATCTTCAACTCCACTATCGATCACAGGTGGCAGAAATGAAAGAAAGAAAAAGAAAGGAAACCAAAACTACTGTCAAATTCATAACATATACATTGTTGGCTGATGACACTTGTTCCAGATGTACAATAAAGCCCACAACACTTTATTACTATGGATATAATTATTGTGAATGTTTTTTCATGTTGATCAACTTGCTTCTGAAAGTTGTTTTTTGATTGTTTTAAACTTGCATAATAAACATGCAATGAAACATTTCTTGTTAAAGTGTTTTTTGCAGTCGTCTTGTTTTCATACAAAGATCTCATAAAGTTGCAGTGTTGTATCAGAGCATTAACAAAATAAGAGCAAAAGCTAAAGAGGAAGGTAAATGTGAAATGAACTTGATGAGAATAACCTAATCTTGTCCTGAGACACTCCAGTCTTAATAAAAAGATGTGCACAATCAAATCCCTTCCTTCCAAGCCCACCAAAACCACAAAATAAATATTAAGTTGGAAGAAAGGGAAGACATAAAGAAAAAAAAAAATTATGTCATCATGCACTCATCTTCTGCATAGCTCAACCCACATATAGTAAGGCACTATTTCCCCACATCTTAGTGTCCACAACAATCTTTTACAGTGCTCTGCGAACTACATATAGTTCCTTCTAGAATGATGAAATAAACAGATTGAATGAGTGTTGCTACCATGTCACCCCATGTGTGATCTTATAGACAAGGGCATCAGCTGGCAGTTTCAGAAATAAGCTGTCTCAAGTCTCTTCTTATGTGTGCATGTTATGTATAGGGATATCTTTTGTGTGTGCAAGTGGTTGGTTTGTTTTCCAGAGCTGCTGTTATTTTTCATTGTTCATTACTCCAGTGTTCTCAAAGCAAATACACAAGAAAATAAAAGTGCAGTTGGGTCATTAAAAACAGAGCTTTGGTGCTCCAAAAAGCACACAGCTTTGGGGACTGAAGAAATGTTAGACATTCCCAAAAGAGTTGGGAAATACATGGACATATTTTCGCCTGGAAATCCTCATCTCTGCTTAGTTGAGCTGGTCTTCATACTGTTTTCGGAAGCAATCACCAGCAGGGAAAAACTCCCAGCACCGTTCTTGATACATTTTCCATACATAGGATTCCTGAAGGAAACACAATTTATACAATTTAACTTGATTCAATGAGAAAACACCAACCATGATGGTTTTTTTTCATTTTATTTATATACTGCTTCAATTTTTGACTCTGTGCATATCAGCTTGTTGTATATCAGTCTACAAAATCATGTTAATGATTTTGATCAGTTCAGAATAGCTTTTAGATTTTTGTTACCTAGTCAAAAAACACCAGAGAAACACAGAGAAGAGAACAGGTAGTTTAGTTCTTATTGTACATCCAGAAGCACTGTAAAGCTCAATTAAAGCTGGTCACGAGACAAATACCAGGGTAAGCAGAATATTTTCTGTCATAGAAATTTGACTGAATTTCTGCATCAGTCATTTCAAAACATGCCTATACACATGAAACAAAATGGCCTTTAAAGGTATTTCGTAGAAGAGCGATATCTTCTGAATCAGTGGTGTGGTTTTTTTTTTTTTTCTTTCTGATTATTTGTTCAGGTAAGGCTCTGTCTCTAGGCAGTCCGGAGAATAGTAAAGGATATGTCAGTTTATTTCCATTTTAATCACACCACTTAAATGTGCTTTGTATTATACAAATTCCATTGTAGAAAGGACATGTGTTACACAAGTTATAGAATCGTAGAATCATTTAGATTGGAAAAGACCTTTAAGATCATCGAGTCCAACCGTAAACCTAACACTGCCAAGTCCACCACTAAACCATGTCCCTAGAAGTTATGTAGTATGAAGTACTCTCAATTTTCAAATTATCAGCTAACAGTATCAAAACCGAATAGTTAGTAGAAATCTGGCTTCAGTGAATATAGTAGGACACACTGTATGCCAAGAAAAAAGAAAATGCAAATAAAAAATACTTTTTTAAAAATCTCATTTAATATGAAATACTCAAATGACAAATGGATGTTCAAAAATAGCAAAGCAAATACATAAAATCTGATACTGGACAAAGCTGAGAAGATTTATGCAAGAAGATAATTCTAATTGGCCAGTACATACATTGGAGTTCAGAAAGAGTAAGCTACATAGATTTATAGCAAATCATCCCTCTGACCCAAATCTGCAGGGCTATGTATATGATGCTTTTCAGGTTTTTTGTTTTCTGATCTGCAATGTGGTAACGTTTGCTTAGTCAGCTGCAAGACTATCACTAGAAAAAAACAGTAGTCTGTAAATTTGATAAGATTTTTTTACTGACTTTCTTCAACGTCCCTGAAGAAGACTTAAAATGCCAGAAGTTTGAAAGAACAACAGCAAAGAAGAAACTTCCAGGGAAAAATTCTCTCACAGGTTTCATTTTAAATATACACACAAGCTCTTTCGTATGGACTTATCCAGGAATGTAGACATAGAAGATTATATATAGATAAATAGATATATAGATAAAGGACAAAGACTATTAAAAAAGAATCAAGAGGGAGAAATGAATAGTGCTGCTTTCACACATTGCTTAAATGTCCTTTTTCTCATTATTTTTGTTTATAGTCTGTATTTATATTTTGTGGAAGTAACAATTTAAGAATAACAGGTCAGATAAAATAGGAATAGAAAGTACTACAGAATTGATACTCAATCTAACATTAAGCAACCAAAGCCCTAAGAACTGTTTAGAAGAATGAGAATTGTTACATACCATATAGGGAGCTATTAATCAGGATACTCATAGTTTTGGCAAGTCTGAATTATTTTTATTTTAGAGCCATATTTAATAACTGTTGACATTCATAGAGTTGTTCAACCTACCTGTCCTGTATGCTCTGTTTCATCTTTGTTAATAAGATACATCAGAAAAAACCTACAAGCAAAGAAACAGCTATTATGAATACAATATTTGGAAACATTAGGCAACCCACAGAGGGATGGATATTTTTCAGCAGGTACAGTGATAATGCTGTTCATGGACTTACAAGTTCCAGAGTTCTATTTATGAAAATATTCCCAGACACATTAAATATACTTTCCTGACACTGCTGACATTCACACATTGTTCAATGAATAGTATGCTAAAATGCAAGAATCATAGAATCATTTAGGTTGGAAAAGACCTTTAAGATCATCTAGTCCAACCATCAACCTAACATTACCAAGTCTACCACTAAACCAATAGAGTAGAGTAGCAACCCCACGCCTCCTGGCTTGGTGGCTGGATCATTTATAATGAAAGTAAAAACTAGGAATCATTAAGATTGGAAAGGACCTCTAAGGAGATTCAGTCTGATTTACAGTAAATAGCAACTCAGGTTAAATGAAGATTGTCTCAGCTTTCTAATCTGACATTTTCTTGCCTATGAACACCAACTTGGAAGCAGACAGGGAATAGTCATTGGAACTTTTTTTTCCTCTCCCCACAAGGAGTAAGACATGCTGAAGATGATTAAGAGATTTCTCTTATTGAAATTATAGGTTGCAAATATTTTACTAGTGTATGTAAATCAAGAGCAGCATGAGCAGAAAAGAAGTAATTTTAAAAATACATGAGTCTTGGGGTTTTGAGATATCTGACAGACACTAGGTGATGATTTCAAAATTTCATTCATAATAGACATTCTCTCCAAACATATGTAAAAATATAAAATATGATCATGCACATAAGTATCAAAAAACATTTCCTCAGAATGACGCACTTAGAGTAAGTATGCTATAGTATGTCATTTGTGTAGTACCTTGTAAGCAGGAACAAAACCCCACATGATGGTACTTTTAATGTATTCTGTTTACACAACCTGTTTTTCAGGTGGAAGTTCTTTATAGGGATGTTTGACTTTAGAGCCTCATTATTTTGTGCACATACAGTACTAGTTTATAGACATGAAGTCACAAACCATCCATAGCGACAGCACTAGTATAAAATACACTTTGGCACTGCATTTTCTTATATATTTAACAGGAGAAGAGCAGTATGATAGAGTGATTGTGGACCTGATAAATGCTTTTATTTCCAGATTTAAAAAGACCAAGTTTAGTGGTCACTGATGCTCTGCTTGGATTTTCCAAAGGTGGACCTGATGCCCTTGGTCTGATCCCTCCACTCTCTAACTCCTCGTTCCAGTTCTCCTGCCTCCCTTTGTCCTGGGATCTCTTAGTCAGCCTCAGCACTCCACTCAAAATTTGTCCAATGTAAGTTTTTCCCTCTTTTGCCTTACTCCTTTGCTTGTGCACTCTCTCCATCAGTCTCCAGGCCAGATCACACCGTTCCTCTGTACCTTACACAACACATTCAATTTTACAACACCTCCGCAGCCATATACTAAGTTCCTGGTTTCCATTTCCTAGCTCACACAAACTTGGCATGTCACAACAAAGCTGGAAACAAGGTAATGAAGTTTGTTCTTTCCTTGCTCTTATCACCACAGAATTACATATTCAGACAGCATAAGTGCATGTCAAAGCTAAACAATACTGACTCTTACTTATGCACGAGAGCTAATCAGATACTTGCAGAGGCTGCAAGGGTCATGAGTTAGCGAGAAGTTAATTCTTACTGTACTCACAAATAATTGGCCAAGTTGTGCTCCTGCAGTGTGTGTGTTTCAAAGCCATGGGGCACTGTATCAAAGTAGTCATTTCCTATTCCACAGATAAAGCACTTCGTCTAAAAGAAAGAATATGGAGCACTTCAACACTATATATAACACTGCCCCCCTTTGAGAAAAGGCCAATAACAATGTAACAGTTTTCTTGAAAATGTCAATGCATCATGTATAACACGTGTTGAACAAAAAGGCTTTTCTTTTAATGATTGGGACTGGATACCTCAGCCAAAACACTTGAACAGAGTTTTAACTGCCATCAGAATAGCTTCTTACTGTTTAAAAAAAAAAAAATCTTTGCCAGCTGTAAGTGAACAGGTATCAGGACAAAGAATGGCATACAATGGTCAAAGCTGATTTTTTATTTTCCTTTAACACTTTAAGTAGCAGTCACTGTAACATATGGCAATGTTTACCTGAATGCCTGTTGTGCTTGTCCAGCTGTAACTGAATATGCTCAAAGATTAGATTACAAAACACAGTAGGTTTGTAACACTTTTCTGAGTTCTTACAGTCATACTTAAACGACAGAATAGAAAACCACCAAGTACAGGATACTTTCACGCATAGATAAACCAAACAAAATTACATCTGAGATGAACCATAACATGACAGTGTTAATACCCTGTGTTAGAAACCTCTAGTCTGAAGATCCAAAAGACTTAAATAGCCACAGGCATGTAATTCATTATAATAAAAAGCAATGTACAAAGATTTTTCTTGTTTACAAAAATGAAGATACAGGGATTAATCTAAACTTTAAAAAGTCATGAGAAAATAAGATGTTAGGCTTTTTGTCTGAATTTTTGTTAACTGACAGCAAAAAACTGGCCACACTTGATCTGGAGGTATTAAAAAAATCCATACTAGGAATTGGCAAACAAATCCAAAATATGCTTAGAGCAGAATATCAGCTTAGACAACCTGGGTTTGTGTCCCATGCAAAGAGACATGCAAGGTAGCAGCTAGCACCTGTCAAAGCATAGCATACCTCTTTCACAGGAGGCAGCAAAGAGTGGTAAATGCTATTCAGAACCTGGATGCTAGAAGAGTTTTCATAAAATTGTCTAAGAAGAATTTATTGGGTACTAACAGAACTACTTACGTAAGTTCTTGTATTTTAATAGGTAAAAAAAAAAAAAAGTCAATTAAAAAAAAAATCTCAGTTATTATTTCCATCTAACAAACTGAGACGTGAGAGTAGAATCTCGTCCAGGACATTGTATGATATTGGACCATGTACAGAACTGTATTGTCCTCTTAGTTTAAAAAAACTATCCACTAGCTAGATCATATTTTGATTGAAAACAGTTATTCATGAAACCTGAAAATACAGTATGGTTCAGCAACTGGTTGTTCTTACCTCCATGTCTTCTTTAACTTGCTCTTGCTGATCTCTTAACTCACCAAAAGCATCAATAATTAAACCTAGGGTTTAAGTTAAAATGATAGTTAAAGTTCAAGAACAGAACTGTGACAAAGAATATTTGGAAATCCAGGGATAACTCTGATAAAGAATATTAAATGAGAATCTTGTGCAGAAATAATAGAAGCCAATGTACATTCCAAAGACCACAAAAACAACTCAATACATGAAGAAAAATGAGCAAGTCAAAGAAAACGGCTACCAGTAACATCGCTGGCAGTACCATTTGGAATTATAAAATGGGACAAGCAGACTTCTGTTTTGACAGTGCTCTAATCTTGACTCAGTACATGAAGATGCATGTGGTTTTACAGTGATGGAGGCTTTCTTATAGAAAAGAAAATTACTGTACGTTTAACAGAGTTCAGGGATTTATTACACGGCAGATGCAGAGAGGCCCAGAGCTCTGTGCATCCTCTCTCATTATGGTTTCATGTAGTATGAGGTTCCACTGTCAGAGCTCTACAGAAGTAAGCGGTCATTTCAGAGAGATACAGAAAGAAGAAAAAAAAACCACCACAGGCTCTACAGCTCAGAATATGAATTCTTTTATGATCCTCCCTTCACTTACACCAATACAAATAAGGACTAACTTCACAATCATTATTGACACTATTGTGCTGTAAAACTGATGAATACCAGATGAGAATTATACTCAAAGCTTGACAGCTAAGGAAGGCCTCTACTCTTCAGTTAATCAGAAAATGAAGAAACAAACAGTATGAGATACGCCACTTCAGGACATAAAACTGGTCATTCTTGAAGGTACAATGTGTAAACAGACAGGGGGCTTTTAAGTACTTTAGGTGATAACATTAATCATTAATACAAACATAATAGAAAAAACCCCAACCCTGACTTCCCAAAATTCAGTGTCGACTATCCTGATTACAACAGCGAGCCACACTATCAGTCAAATACTTTCTCTCCAATTCAGAAGCTAACCTGATGGCAGCTGACTTTCCATTGCCATTAACCTGGATACACTAAAGCTGTTTCATATCAAGCACCTTCCTTTACTTTTTGACATTGTTCAAACAAGCAGGCATCACACCAAACAGAGGTTTTTATGTAAGGAAAGATTAAAAACTCTTAAAGATATGTTGCAATTTTCACACCACGGCCACCAATCTGAAGGTTTGCCAGACAGTCAAGAACATTATTAGATGCTGGCAGGGGGAATACTGACAGCACCTGCTACCGATTTTGTCCACATAAGCTCACAAAAGGTGGGTTATGCTGAAAGACAATTTTAAGGTATGCCACAAGATTTTTAATCACTTCTCTTGCTGATCATTTACAGGACGCTTTTAGAAAGGGCAATGAGAAGACAGAAACTGTAGTGACACCAGTATTCCACAGCAAAGAGCTTTTTTGTTTCCACTGATCCAGTTAGAGACTGTTGATTTCACAGAGACTAGGAAAAACAGCATATGGATAAAAGCCAGCTGGGTGTGATTTGCTATATAAATCTATGCTTCATGATCTGCCCTCGTGTCCTGGTTGAATCTTAGGTGTGTGATTCTAGCACTAAGATCTTTGTACTACTAAACAATGCTTTTGGTCTCACCACGGGTTACAAACATATACCTTGAATAATTGCAAGCAGGATGACAATCACAAAGAAGAAGAAAGTGATGTCAAAGATAATCCGATAGATTTCATATTCATCTCCTGCTGGATCCTCTATTTCGTCACCAATGCCTCCACCTGCACGTACTCCAACGTACATGTGAAACATGTAGCACTAGAAAACACAAAACAAAGGGATACAAAGTTTGTCTGCACCTAAGAGGAAAAATACCCATTGTTGCAAATTCAGTAATGGTCTATTGTCTAGCAACTATACTATGTCAAGTCATCTTTTTCTCCCCTTTGAGCTTATGTATATTTCTCAGGGAGGTGAAATGCTGCTGTGCAGCTGAGGCTGTAGTATTTCATGTTCTGTCATTATGTAGCAGTTTAAAAAGATCAGAGGTTCAACTACCTTAAGCCCAGCAGCACACCATGAATCATGTACAATCGTTCTAGTAATGTGCAGATAGGAAATACCATTACCACCACAACCATCTCCTTTTCCATTTTCCTAGCTCAAAAGTGAATGACTTTCCCCATCTTTCGCATTTCAAACAAAAATTTAAAAAACAAACCGAAACAAAACAAACAAAAAACCTTTGAGAATGTTTGTGCAGAGGACAAGCTAATGATGGAAAAAGGCTCAGACTAGTACTGTGCAGCTATGATATGGAAAGTGGTATAATAGGTCTCTTGGTATAGTTATGTGGGATGCTGAGAAAGCAAAATTTCCAGTTTATCATGCTATAATTGACTAGAAAATTATGATATCACTCTCAGAGGTCTGGAGCAGGGGATTGGTTCTTTTTCTTTAAGTAGCTTTGCAAATGGCAGGTCCAGGGTTCTCACTCCCTATCAAAAAATAGTGATGACAATAACAAACTCCTAAAACCTAACCATACAAAAAATCCATTATTTTACTTCTAGGCTACACTTACGCCCAAAATCCGTTATGTAAGAAATTGATATAGTAACATACAATGCTGAGTCACCAATGGCTGAAAAATGTAAAAATTTTTAGAGATAGTTTTTATTTCACCATTGAAAGTCAATCATTAACTTAATGAGTGAATGTAGTGTTAGTTATCTAAAAAGTTTTAAAAGTTATTTTTCTAATTCTAAAACTAAAAATATGTTCTCTGTACTTTTATTTTTCTTTTTTTTTTAACATCTCATTGCAAGTCTTACCACTTTTACAAAAGACAACCCTGATTTTGTAGCATATCACATATTATTCTAACTCATTCCTGTATAATATTGTAGCCTTTTGTAAGTGTATTTTCAGAAAATTACAGAGCAGGACAAGTCAGAAGGGACTTTGGGAGGTCTCGGGTGCAAATCCTGCTCCAAGCAGGGTCCACTATAAACTCAAAGTTCTTCTGGGCTTTATCCAGTCAGGTCATTACAATCTCCTAAGGATGGAGACTGCACAATCTCTCTGCGCAACCTGATCCACTGCTTGGCTCTTCTCAGTCAGAAACTTCTTCCACTTTATGTCCACGGTCTCCTGCCATGCACTGCTGGAAAGAGCCTGGATTTGTCTTCCCAATAACCTCTCTGCAGGCACTAGGGAGCTGCTCTTAACACTCCCCCACCACTACGAAGCTTTCTCTTCTCCAGGCCAAGCAAGCCCAGTTCCCTCAGCCGGTCTTCCCAGGGCAAGTGCTCCAGCACCTGACAATTTACTGGCCCTCCACTGATTCATGCTCCAGTTTATCTGTGTCTTTCTTGTACTGAATGTCCCAAACTGGACAAAAATATAGACATACTAGTCTGCTTCCACAGTTTATCTAATTATCGGGCTTTTTAATGGTGTCAATTTCCTGGAAGTGATTCACATTGCATAACATACTGAAATATATTCAACTTTGTTGTACATGATTGCTTTTAGAAGGGTATTAACGGCAGTGCATCTTGGAAATTCTTCATGACTTAAGCTCTACCTACTATGCACAACATCAAAGCCTGGCACTGTCTCAGTAAGTACAAAATAATTTTCAGTGCTTCTGAGCACAGGAGAGATTTCAGTAACAGAATCACCAATTGAAGATAATCATGGCAATTCATGCTAAGGGAAACTAATGGATTTCCCATCTTAAAAAAGAATTTCAGTACCTAAATTACTTACGAAAGTCCTTGCCTATAACTGACCCTCCTCCTTGAATGGCCTGTAGAACCTCAAGATTCAGAAGTACTGTCCTTCAACTGACTCAGCTCAGCTTCACAGCTTGTAGTTCTTTTTCATTTTTTGAGAAACCATAGCAAAGAATACCATCACAATTCTTCTGTTCATTTATAGAGGTGTTTGTTTAACATACAAAGGGTGTATTCTAGTTGTTAGGGATGTTCATTATGTTTGTTCCTTTGCCTTCAATTATAGTCTTTCCTGTTGCTGGTTAATGATACGACTGTATGAATAGGAATTAGAAGAACATCAGGACAAAAACATGACCATTTAAGAAAAAATCCAGAAAGCAAAATAAGACTTACTGTTAGCATATCATCACATTTCATGTCTGGCATATCACCATCTTCACTCTTGTTGTAGAACTTGCGGAAAAAATTGAACGCCACTACTGTATACAAGTATACTACTACTGCCAGTAATCCCACTGTTAGGACAAGCTGGAAGACAAAATTATAAAGTGGATATAACACTACCCTGGAATTATGCTATACAATTTTCTTTGCAAAAAGAGAAGTAAAGTAACAATAATCTAGATGTACTAGCAGAAGGAAAATTTTCTTTACTTTTTCTCTGCCTCTTGCATATCTTGGTAATATTTGGTAACACATTTGCATACTTTCATGCAAAGTTTGTGCATGATTTCACCTGTTTTATTTTGGAAGAAAACTGTGCTTCAGAAACACAGACAAATCTTGCAAAATCTAGTGGATACATACACAATCAATCCATTAGAATCATATAAAACCCCCACAATCAAAAATATCTGAAAGTTTACTACCTAATAGTAATAGTACTACTATTTAATATCACTTATTATATAATTGCAATATAGTATTTCTACTAATTTACTGCCAAAACAATTTTGTTTACATCTATGAAATCACATATAAAACAAACTGTTCCTAACGTTTTAGTATCTACCTCAGAGAAGCAGCAACAAATACCCCACTGCTCAACTGCAGGATCATTAAAATTTTGCCTTCCATCTTGAGCAGCTGGAAGTGAACTGCAATATCCTGCAAATTGATATTTCACTTGCATAGCTGCCAGATCTAAAAAGTTCCTTATCATAATGCCCCCTTACTTCATAGACAATTTGGTAAAACTTTAGGACCACTTTTAAAAGTTAGAATACTTCACTTTTTCCAGGTGCAGACTGATTTTTTTGCCTTTTTGTTCTTTTAAGAAATCAGAATTAAGAATTTAAGAAATTCTGTTTTTTAAAGGGCACGGAATGCAGTATGTTGATTTATGTAACATTTTTGAAGACACAATTTTTGTTCCACAAATGAAACGTAAGTTTCCCACATAAATTAAAACAAATAACAGTTTGCCAAGGTGAGTTCATACTCAAGAGTTTTCTACATGTCATGTGCTTCACTAGTTATTTTGAAATATAAACTGTGTCCATTAAAATGTGCATTAGTTCTTAAAAAATGTTGACAAGGACAGAGCACTTGTAGACAGAATTAAACGAAATCAATCACCCTTTTCATTTATAAAAAAATCATTGCTAATGATTTTATGTTTCTCTAGTATCAAACTTGCTTGAAACAAAAGAGAATAAAAACATAAACACTGAAAAATAACTTGCTACTGATAAATTTCAAAATGGTACTTGCTACCAGACTTCTAAAGCACCTACATTGTGTAACATCAGAACTGAAGTTCCATCTTACTACAACAGCACATAAGTATACACAAAAGAGAAGACCTTTATGTTATCATTCCCAGCCCACTTGAATAAGAATTATATTAGCTGCCTTGCTGGAAGGTCTTCTAAGCAGACCAAGGATGGCTTTTTTATCATTAAAAATTGTTTACAAAGGTCCTTTGAACTAGGAAGGCCATCAGATTTGAGGAACACTGTCTCAGGTTACACTAAATGCCATTCCTACAACAGATCTCAGTAAACGAAAAGCCTTAGTTATTTTCTTTACTTAAATCAGAAATACAATTTCAGATTTCATAGCTTCTTTAAGAAAAGATTTCTTATTATCGAAGAGTTGAGTTTCTCAAACAATCCTCTAACAGAAAGAGTAATTGGATCTCAACTGGACCTTTCTTTAGATGAATCTTGAAAAAAATTTTGAACAGCAACTTTATGACACAGTTGCTCATAGCAGCTAGAGACTGTCATACATCCTCGTCCCATTTTCTTATGCTTATAAATCCCATTGGCTAGTTTCCCCACTGACCCAAGTTCTAAAGTTTATGATGAAAGAACAATTCTGTTGTCAATCTGCAGGGCAGCTGAATTGAGTCATGAAGTGATCTTTCCTGTGTACTCCTTAAGTAAAAAAGCTGGAAAGAGACAACAGTTGATACCTGTTTGCCGTTGTGGGTCACTGACGACAGGATAGTTCGTAATGTCTTGAATCCCATTGCAATGTCAAGGAGATGAGCAGCAAAGAAAAAATTGTTGTAATGGCCAAGGACTGACATGGTCATGTACCACGCTAGGTAAAGGAAAGACTAAGAGAAAAAACAAGTACATCATAAAATAAACTTCATTGCTATTATCTTTAACTTAATTCAAAACACTAAGGAAAGGTAGAAGTTACTTGAATGTATTTTCTTTAAATAGAAAACAATTTTTTTTTAAAACAGAATTTTCTATAGATCTTTTAGAATTTTCTCTTTGTGCAAAAATATTAAATCAGGAAATACAAAGACATGGTCAAAATTGACATATTCTGAATTTTAATTTGTAAAAACTGATTTTGAAATTGTTAAACACTTATTTGTTAATGTTTCTAATGTAAAAAGGTTTTCTGATTTAAATGATGTTTTTTTTCTGAATATCTAAATAATTACTTTAAAATATTAAAGCCCTAAGGTGGTTAATGACAAATTAAAGGACTCTGCAAGCAATAAAAGGAATTTTATAATTAATTCAAGCGACTAAAACTACTACTTAAACATTTATGTATTATTTAAGTAGTTTACTATTACTACAAATGTTAATTTAATCTTTTCCTCTATCATTTAATTTTTATTGGAGAATGTAATAGAAATTATAAGAGAAATTACAGCCCCTCCCTTCAAAAAAACCTAACCCTGAACAAACTACCTCTTTACAGATCATGCCTTCTGTAGACCTGGAGACTTATCATTCCACTCTTCCTGACTAAAGTCAGATTATACTTTCATTCTCCAGCAGTCCTAGTTCTGAAATAATTGGTTCCCCAACCATTTTTTCCACCAGTAAAACAAGCTGAGTTAGGCAAGTGATAATCAGAAGAGAATAATTATATGATGAGTGACTTCTTGAACTGCAAGGTATTTTAACAGTCAGTCTTGCTTATCATTCCTTTTTGTGTGTTTTTTAAAGACTTATTTTTTCAAATTATTAAAATCATCAGCCTCATTCTGTGTCACATCTTACTACCAGTTGTAGTGATACAAATTTTAGCAATTCCACATATATTAACTATACCGATCTGACTATGCTCCAGGAATACTCAAATGTTCATAAAGTTTATAAACAATAAGAAAAATAGCAATTAGAATTTATGTAGCCAGTTTTCTAATTCTGCAGTGCACTGCTTGCTTATTGCTCCTGAATAAAGCATATCAGAAGCCGGAGGGAATTGACTGAGGTTCTATAGACTGATACCTATGTAACCGGGAAAAGATTTTGGCAATGTCTTTTTAAGCATCCAAGATTTTCTTCAGCTATGTAGTAAATTAAATATAACCCAGAGTATTTCATACCTGCCTTTGAAGCACTTTGGGTTAACAAGAGTATATTGCATTTTAGAAGGTGAGTATATACATATATATATATATATATGCGCGCACACTGATGAACTTACATTATCAGTGAAAACAACTCCTAATTTCCACATCTGATACTTAACATCAATGGAATTTAGCCTGCAAAAATAAATAGATAAATTGTATTTTATATCAAAACACAATAGGAAAACACAACACAATCTGTAGGAAGTGTGCTGTCACATAAACACAGGAGATAACAGCTGATCTATTTCTCCAAAAGCTGAAATACATCAGAACCTTGTTCTAATTCACACTTTTACTCTGGAATGGACCTGTCCAAAAAAAAAGCAGAAAAACAAATTAATAAATACTGGTTTGGATTCATCAGACCTAATTCTGATCGATGTCTACAATTTTATCATATACATACAAGTGAAATGAACTGTCTTCATAATCCATGAATAAAGAGAGATTTGTTTTTTTAAAATGTGACTCATCTAAGCCTAAAGTAGCTGTCAAAAAAGGTCAGAGAATTTGCACCCCAAAATGCAAATTTTTTACCATTAGTTATGATAGCATACATTGGGCCATACAAAAAGTGAGGTGAAATGAATCTCAGGGCTTGTGTCCTTTGCTTTTACCACTGATATTGGGACTAAATGTGAACGAAAGAGAAATGTATATTAAAAGCTTTTGCAGAAAAGGACCTGGGGTTCTCGGTGGACTGCAAGTTGAGCATAAGCCAGCAATGCACCCTCACTGCAAAGGCAGCTAATGGTACCCTGCACTCCACGAGGAGGAGTGTTGCCAGCAGTTGAGGGAAGTGAACCTTCGCCTCTAACTCAGCACTGGTAAGGCCATACCTGGAGTGCTGGGTCCAGGTCTGGGCTCCCAGTATCTTCCGCGGTTTTTGTTGCTTTGTTATATTAGCGAGTTAGTCTCTTCTACTGCTCTCCTCTCTTCAACAAATTTTTATGTTGTACAGACTGATATTGTAAACTACTGTCTCCAAATTTTTCCCTTGTATTTCTTTAATTAACACCTTCAGGTATTTATTCTCCTCTTACTCTATCAACACAAAAAGATATCTCAACTTTAAGCTACATTTTTTGCACTAGAATTAAACCCATTAATTTTCTTGAAGTATTTTTTTTTTCCTCTACAGAGAAGTGATACAACTAACTTACCAAACAAGATGTATACAATTTTTGCTTGTAACTGTATCTTGCCCTCTCTAGTTTTTGACTTTTTCTTTTTGGAAAGGTTTGGATCATCTGTGTTATATTGACACAAAAAAATTCTAAACTTGGATCACAATTCAGGAACAAATACAAATAATAGCATGAAAAATGTCACCTGTCCTACTTTTATCCTTAAAATGTGAGTGAATTCAGTGTTCCTGAAAGAGAAGAGCTGCTGACAATGACTAAACAAGTAGAAATAATGCTGGCAGATGTCATACATCTGCCATATATGAAAGCAGTACTACTTCTGTGCCAGATGTTTGTACGGAATTACCTGAGGCCTTAGACAGAATACCAAGAGTTAAACCCTGGTCTATCAAGATCTGATTTCCAAATTTCTTACTTGTATAGCCAGAGCCACTAAACACATAAAAATAAAGGTTTTATTTGAATATTACACTCCCAAGGAATACTTTGTCATCAAAATACCAAACTCCTACTTATATGCAACAGTATTTACTCTTTAATACAACCAAAAACTAACACCATTTTTATACATGAAGCTAAAAGGCAAAAGACTCAAGTTGAACCCCCTGTATAAAAGTAAAAACACTACATAGATATAAGTGGAGATACTATAATTGAAAAAACCAGCATTAAATCAAACTTACATCAAGACCTCTACTCCAAATAGTCTGCAGTGTATTTTAATTAAAAATTCGTTTTTCCTTCTGAAGTGTATTAGTCTGCTTGAACAAAAAGGGAAAAGCAGAAGAAATGTAGTAGAAGTTTTCTGATTTATGAAAGATTTGACCCTTGCTCTCAAATTTACACATGACAGATCTTTCATACGTACATTTTACTTCTGTGCAGAAAACATTTAGATGATACAGTAACTCATTTAGGGTCAATTTTTTTACCCTTTATTCACAGTGAATTATACTTTTCTGCCTTCAGTGAACTTCCACAGGACTATACATTTAGCTCTAGAGCAGGTAAAAGGGCACAATTATATTATTAATGCTCTGTAAAGACAAAAATAACATAAGCACAGAGACTTAATGGTGAATTCTAGAGTCTATTATCTAGTTAAACAAGATTCAACAGATTTTAATTTTCTTTTATTACCATTTCCTTTGTTTATTTTTTTTTTATCTATGCAAAGGCAACAAATTACTAGGTTAACAAATCTAAAACTTCTCATAAATTGGCATGAAACTTTTTTAAAGAATGAGAGTTGATCACAGTTTACTAGGCACATTGATGGCCCAGTCAGCAATTGGTTTTGTTTCATTATTCCCTTCATGGTAGACAGCAGCTCTGTAGAAACTAAAGCCTAACGTTTCATCTGAGTTTCTTCCATGGTGACTCAAGCCACAGTCACTGGATGACATTTACTATCTGATTAGGATTGCAGGGATGGTATTTTTACGACAAACACACTACATACACTAGAGAAATAAAAGGTGCAAGTTTTTTTCTAACAGGCTTTCAAGTTTACAGGGATGGAAATACGCGTCCATAACAAAATTCACATTCATATCTTGAAAGAAATTATTAGAATCATGCTAGTCTCAAAGGTCCCCAAACTGTGCTATGCTCCAGATACCACAGAGTGTTCAAAGATAAATCTAGCATACTGCCATTTCACCAAAGCTAGGAATGCTTCTTGAACAATCAAATGGCTTCTCCAACAACAATCCAGCACAGCTAAGAGCTGCTGATACCATTTTCATCAACCTCAAGTTATAGGCAAATTTTCTAGCCCCAAATTTGAGTTATTAAAGAAATCAAAATTTATAGAAAACTGTCCCAAAAGGAAAAAAAAAAAAAAAAAAAGGGTCAAAAATGTTAAGAACGGTTTCTCATTCAAATACATTCAAATATTGTTCAATAACATATTCAGGTGGTAAAATGAACCAAAACCTCTTGAAATTTATTTCTGAAAATATGATTGTAGCAAGTTAATTTCTTACTTTATTCTGACCCAATACCACTCACTTCTAGTGTCAGGCATATTCTTGTGACCACATTCCACCTATTCATAACTATATTTGTCTTGCGTATGAAACACCACAGACAGGAATACTTACAGACAGGCAGGATACTCTCTCATTTTTCCATATCTTCATTTTTTAAAGGAAGTCTGATATGGATAGCAAAGCAATAATAACATGCATAATACTGCATTCCTCTGTTTATTTCTGCTCACTACCTTGATCAAGTAGCTCAAAGACTTAAAAGAATATGAAGTCATATAAAAATTAAGCTCTGCAGCTGTGAATCAGAAAGTAACATTTTGGTTTCAAGTTTCCTTTGGAATAGCATTAGTATTATATTGGATGAATTTCCTAGTCTGAATGAATTTTTATTTGACTACTTCCTGCACCATTGAACAGATTGCATACACTGTAGCACTGTAGTTGTAGTAGCTGAGTTTAGTGACAGGGAACGACGGCACAGTGTGAGAATGCACAATGTGAATAAGCAATAGGAAAACTGTGAGAAATTGCCTGTATTGCGTTTGGCTGCAACCTGCACTAGTATTTCATCACCTTCAACAACACCCAGACTTCTTACGGCTTCTTTCTTAAGGTCTACTGCATTCAGCTGTTCCAAGTATAAGACAGAAGGTTTTCAAACGTTATTCTTCCTTTTAAAAAAAAAACCTTAGGCAATCAAATGATACTAATGTTAACTGGAATCAGAAAATTCTGAACTTTTCAGCCTGAATCATTTTAATGTTTGTACATCAGAGCTGTTCAGAGCAGCTACAGGGCATTGCCAGCTGAGGAACCACTATCATTACCTTAAGTTCAAACTGAAAAACAGCCTTACAGCAGCATTTAACCTTTTTCCAAAATGACAGATGAACTAAAACTGGGAAGAGTCAGTTTTAATTAGTTAGCTCTTCACATTAACTTTCTTAGCAGACGCCAAAATTTTCTGTTAAAGGTTCTTTCAGGTTGTTGCTAATCTAAAAGAGAAAACAGTTCAGAAAGATGACCCATCTTTCTAAAGCTATAAGAAAAATCATTAATGAAAATATGAGCCTGCCTCTCAACCATGAAGGCTGAAGCCACTAGTCACTTGCAGATATACACTTTTTTTGGACAAACGGGCACATCCACAGGTTTGTAAATCCTGTGGTGACATCATATCAGGTATAAATCTTGGGACTTCAGGTATAGAAACTACCTCAGATAAAATCCCTTACTTTTTCACCAGCCGTTACGGGCAAGAGGCAGACCTGGGGGAAAAGTCTACTAGTTTATCAGAGACAATACTGTTCGCCAAGATACTACATTACTAACGAGGGAGTTACCTGCTCCAGAATCTTTTGAAAACCGAGGTTATTGTTTCTCGTGACAAGGAAGAATAAGACCTTTCAACCTCTTTCACATTCTGAGGTCAACTGCACTCATTCTTTGTATACTTCACATTTATGATATGGTTTGTCTTTGTGTCATGGAAATGGAACTATGGAAATCTCACATCTTCCAGGAGAAAATTATTTACATTTTTCTCTTCTTGAAAGGGGAAGAATTGTTCTACCACATGACCATTCAACAGAAGCCCTGCTTATTTCCCCCCAAATTAGCCTTATGTCACTGATTACTGCAGATGCTTGAGCCTCAGCTGCCTCTTCTGTTGACTCTGACTAGACTAATGACGGCAGAACCAACAGCAGTTAGGAAGGTAAAGGGACTGAGAGGTAACCCTCACTATGACACCTCTGATAAATAACCTTCATCTTTGTGTCTTTCATATTCTCTCAAATATACTTCATACATGCTGTAGCTAGTTTAACACCATCTACCCCAGAAGGGAAACTTATTCAATGGAAAAACACTGCACTGTCTCAATCCCAGTGTGCAAATTGTAACTGTCTTTACTGTCTAATCTATAGTAAAGCTCCAACTTCATCATCCTCCTTAGCTGGTTATATTTAAATAATAGTGCAATATATTTAAATAATTATTTAAACATTTAAATATGCATTTATAAATTTACATATATATACTTAAAAAATACTCAAGACTGCATCCATAAGCTGAATGGCTCTTCCAGAGTTAAAATATATCAGTACACTGAGGATTTTTTTTTTTTTTTGCAGTGTTATCAGTGGGATGGGCAGGAGCTTTTGAAAGAGCACGGTCACTTGTGAGTGCTCTGAGTCCCTTGCAGAAAGACAGATGGAAGGGAATACCAGGTTATTTGCCCACAGGAAAGGGGAAGAAATAGTAGGAGCTAGGGGTCAAGGAGACAGAAGAAAAACCTGGTTTGTTTGTATTGGGAATGGAAATGCTACATGCTGTATTTCCATTCTGTGTTGAGACACACATGTGTATCTGGGCTGACCTCAGTCTGGGCCACGTCCTTGCACTGAAGCAAGGGCTGATTTTGTAAAGATGGATGTTTAACATCAATCTTTTGTAAAGATGGATAAATAAACCTGAAGACCGTCTAAACAATCAATCATGTGCTGTATTAAGGCCCAAGGACTCTGCCATGCATGACTCTATGACATACAGAAACAGAGGCACTAGAGCTGGAATCTGCACCAGGTCACACCATTCTCCATTTTTTCTCCCAAAAGTGGTGCAGTAAGGGTTCAACTCCAGTGCTTTTCCCACCTCTGTCTTCATGGCACTGTAAATGTATTTCACATGTTGAATTTGGAATATGCCTAAGTTTTAGTAGCTTCATTAGTGTTCATTTTTGAAACTGGTAAAAAGTGGATACATGTACCTTCCTGAAGCATAGGAATTTTATGCGAACGGTTCTGTAAATTTCTGTCACAGTTGTTTATTTTTCCCACAGCATATTCATCTGTTATAAGTATGGAATTATTTCTCCAGGGAGAACATGAAAGATGGATGAGGTTGTAATTTTTTTTTTTTTTAATGTATACAACATGGAGTAGATACTAGAGATGTAACAAAAAACTAGCATCCTTCAGGCCTCATTCTGAAATTAAGTATTTCATCAGCCTTCTCCAACTGCTTTATTCTGGTCTGTTTTTTCAAGAGTATTCACAGAAACATTATTTCAAATTTCTTCCCAAATGAGTCATGAGCACACAGGGAAGGGAAAGTAGTTTCATTTTCTTTTTATACCAATAATAAAAGTAATAAAAATAAAAAAAAAAAATTTTCTAAACTCAAGCATGGGTCCTACTATAATCCAGCAGCAAAACAGCAGGTAAGAAAGTATTCTGGAAAGTTCTTCTGCCACAATATTAAATTTTGTTTAGTATTGCAACAACATAGAGTCCTTGGGCCTTAATACTGCACATGATTGAGTGTTTAGACGGTCTTCAGGTTTATTTATCCATCGTTACAAAAGATTGATATTAAACATCCATCTTTACAAAATCAGCCCTTGCTTCAATGCAATTCTAATCTACTACTGGTCCCACTGTCTACCTCATATAATCCTTGCAAACCCATTGATAAAATGTTGCTTTTAAAGAAAGCTATAAATAAACCCTTACTTTAGAATCTGTAGCATTAAAAGTCCATCTGTTGAAATATATTCTATCTATTTCAGTATTTTTTTTTTGTAACACAGAACTGGAAAAAACATTTTTGCAGTACTTTAGTAAACTGAGGATGTCCCTTCCCTACAAAGGAAAACAAATTACTCTGAATATCTAGGGGCTTTTTTTCCAGGTCTCAGATGATAGGCAAATACCTTTTTTTCCAGGTCTCAGATGATAGGCAAATACACAGTTTAGGGAAAACAAATCGTAAAAAGATGTGAAGACTATTCATTCAACTTCCTAGATTTTACTGGTCACTATCACTATGACTTAAATTTATTCCATCATTTCTTTATAATCAGAACACACAGTGCCAACTTTGCCCATTCTTTCCAGCTGAGCTGAACTGAGAGAACTATGAAAAGAAGTTTCCAGCCCTGTTGTAATGACACTATCAAAACAGTGGGAATGCGATGCATTCAAGCAGCTGTGCACTAAACTAAATCTTCGTACATAAACAACAGTGGAGTCCTGCATATACGTTGTCTATAATGAAATAAATTCACTATAACATTCAACTTGATTGATTTATCTTATATAGCTATACTTAAAAGAGCAACAAGATTCAAAGCTGAATGACAAACCTTGAATGCTTGATTTTACCTTACAAAAAAACCCCAAACAAACAAACAAAAAAACCCAAACAAAAAAGAAAAAACAATCACACAAACAAAACAGAAGCAAATACTTACACAGCAGATAAGGAGCTATCCTTCTTTGGTTTCTTCTTTTCTCGAGCATCACTAAAATCGAGAGCAGCTTTGTCCATTCCTAGTAACTCACTGATCCTGTCACGGCCATAGAACTCACCATATTTATCCATGACCTACAGTTAGAAGGAATATTCAAGAGAAATAGTTGGGTAGACCAGCTGGTTTTTAGCCTGGTTTCTGAAGACAAGAGGTTTAACATATACAATCTTTTTCATCTGTTTGTTTCCATCTATCATATGAGTCAGTAATTTTTTTTCTGCTCAATTGCAATCAATTCAATAGAGGCAAGAGGTAGGTGTCAAAGATAAGATGTTCCTACTCATTTAATGAAAGCAGGAAGAGGAAAGCAACCCATCAGAAGGAGAAAAATAAATCAATACCATCACTGACAGAAAAAAATACACTGTGAGGTCACACAAGAAAGAGATGTTTTGAATATCCTAGCTATGTGAAATGCTCTGATTAAAATAAGATGTCTTAAAGACAGTATTTGACCCTTACTAGTTATTCCTTTAAGAAAAAAAAACCCAACAAACCATATTTATTCTATTCAGAAAGGTTTTTTAAATAACCTGAATGTCTTGGATTTTTTTTTTTTCTTTTAAGGGGAAGTATTTCACATTGAAATAGTCGTGAAAAATGTCCTCACTTATTAACTAGCTCCATTGCATAATTTTATGATCTTATTTTTGTTAGTTAATAATGCAATGAAACTATAATACACATAGAATATGTAGGAATCTAAAGATCTTGAACAGAGAGTTACAGCTAAAAATGATTTTCAGTGAATTCAAACTATCCCCTACCTCCTTCTTACACAATTTAACATATTTCATAAGAAACTTTCTGGAAATGAACATCTACTTGCTCTCATTCTCACTGAACACACAGCTCCTTCCTAAATATTATCTGTATCTTCTCATTTTAAAAAAAATACTCAAAGAAATACAAAATTTTGGATAGCAAGATCATAACTGAATTAATCCTGCAGGTGAGGTGGTATTTTACCAGCTTTCTAATAAGCAATGCTTTAAATCTTTATTGATATTTTTGCAGATTTTTAGAGACAAGCCTTCTTTGTCACATGCCTGAAAACAGTGCTTCATGACTGTGGATCATTCACTAGGCTGGAGATTTAAGTATATTTATATACAAATTTAAATACATATATAAAAAAAGAAAACATTCTTTGCAAAATACCGTATTTGAAGGCACTTAAATCTATGCAGAGCAGTTCCTCAGCCAAAGATAAAGTACCAAACCTCGCACACAATTTAAAACCATGCTCCTTTCCTTTTAATAGGAACCTTCTTTGACCTACTACATCGACAGAAGCAATGTTATTTTCTTTCTTGAGTACTCTGTGCAAGCTACTTGCTCCTCTTTTCTTAGATAGACAGATAGAAATATGTATCTAAGAGCTTCAAATATGCAAAAAAATACTTTCAACAGCAAAATGAATAGACAACTTAATTTTTAGACAGGTTGACCTAAAACTGTTATGAAGCAGAAAAGCTACAAGCATCTAAAAAGACATGTTTCCGAAAGTGTGATTCAAGATTGGCATTAAATGGTGTGAAGGAAGGGTAAATCTGATCCAACAACATAGACACCCTCTTTTTCAATTGTGACCAAACGCACTAGGAAGATTATTCTTATTGTAAGCTATGGTACATACCTAACATTTATTTTCTAAGAGCAAGCTGAGAAAACATTTGATGGAACATTCATAAGAAATGAACTTCTACACTCTCTGCTTATGGAGGACCATTTCTGAGAGAGAGAGATTGTTAGGTTACGTGACAAAAGCTCATCTGCACACTCACAGAGGACCACCGAGAGACAATGGTTGGGGGAGAGTCCAAAGAATACCCTGCCCCAGCTACTCTGAGGCCCATCACAGGAGCCATCAGCCCATTAAAGGCCCATCTCCTCAAGCCTAGAGGAGCACAGAGGCATAACGGCAGGCAGGAACCCAAATTACAGACTCCAAATGAATGGACACCCTGCCTGGTCCCTTCCCAGGGCTGTCCCAGGAGACCCTCAGCTCCAGTGTCCAGGTCTGAAACCCACCAAGATGAGCCATTGGGAATAGTTTTCCAGATCACCTTTCAGACTACTAAGGGATGTGGCATACGTTATGGGATGGCGAAGGAAGAGCATTTGGGGACTGCACAGAACTTATTCTTGGATGTTACAGGGAGGAAGCAAAGGTGGGAAAAGGGATGGATTTAGGTGATTTGGGGAGGAACAAGTGTGGGAAAATAAAGAGGTAAGGGACAAAAAGGGCCAGATGCATGTATATAGTTTGCTGGTCAGTACAGTTGTCTGACTATGCCCTGTGCCTAAACATCTCAATCTGTCCGACCTTCTCATTAAAATTCCTTTCTAACCCTCTCCTAGGTGAGGGACTCTCTATTCTGTGTGCACGGATGTAAATGTAAATGTAAATGTAAATACACACAGACAAAACAATCTACATATGTTGCAATATATATTCAAGTGTACACAGAAATTCTCCACAGAATTTCATAAATGTATTTGAATTCCTGTTTCATACAACAAGCTGCACATAGAAAAAGTTTGAAAGAATAACTATCCAAACCACACAAAAGTAGTTGTAAGCATGAGTTGAGTAAGGAATTCTGTGTATTTTAAAATGGTAAATACAGACATCTACGCTGATCGAAGTTATATTTCAAAGAAGTGTAGTCCACATTTCTTCAAACATGAAAATAAACATGCATTAAAACTTTATTTTAACTTCATATATATTTTTAAAAATAAGCCTTACCTTTCTTTTCACAAATTTGTCCCAATAGTTATTTGGGAAAGACCTGAAAAACACAGATAAACAAGATTATATTTTAGGCAATCATGAGAAGATGCAGTAGTTACTAAGATGCCATAAAAATTACATACTGATTTTGTTTCTAAGAAGCTCTTTGTTGTTGCTATTGGCAGCTAGTCGTTTGTGAAGTCACTGGAATGAAAGTGGCCAAATGGCGTTCAGCCTACCATGCTAATGTGGCTGGGAAAGAGCGGCAGAGCCGACGCCTGCAGACAGGGCTCTAAAGCAGTTGGATCACACAGTCCCACCAGGCAGAGTGTTGGGACTTTAAATACGTTCCTAAAGGAGAGCCTTCAAAAGACACTAAAAGGATGCAAAGCACAGTTCACTCTTGAACTGACAGAAATACGCAATCATCACTGTGCTTGCCAAAAGAAATTCATTGCAATTCTTTTATGGAATAGAAATAATTTTAAAGCAAAAACCTGGGAATGAATAAGATTAAAAAGTAATAGTAAGCATTAGCGTAACAGGTGCCTGAAATATTTTGTATATCCTTGCTAGAAATATATCCCTCTCAATTGTTTATTTCAGACAAGTTGCATGATCAACTATAGAACTGTGGAGATTGAAGAACAATTTCTTGCAAAGCTATAAAGAGACGGAGTAGGTAAAAACTCACTGTGTGTTGATTACAAGTCTATCCCACTGTCCCTTAATATCGTCTTCTGATGGCTGTTCAGTTATATACAGCCCATCAAATTCCAATTTCCTTGCCACTTCCTTTTCTCTCTTAAAAATAACCAGTGGAACCTGCAATTGAAAACAATATCAGGAATTATTTTAAATGCACTGACATGTCTGCAAATTTTTAAGAGAAGCTGGTTGTTACGAAAAACTAAGTATGAAAACTGAACAAAGCAAAAACAGTATTTAAAAAAATTAAAAGACTTGACAATTGCCCAGAACACTGCAAAGGTGTACATGCACAAGGAACAGGTCATTCAAAATCAGGTAACTACAGTGTACCACACAGTTGTAAAAAGATGGCCAAAAACCCTGAAAAGGGATCCTTCAAATAAAAATAGTTCTTCAGTGCTATGGAGCTATTAGAGCTAGTCAAGTGAGAGAGCGCTAAAATAAAAATAATTTTTAAATACTTAGAAATTCTAGTTCCAACATATTAATTTGGGATCACACATTTGGATTGTATTTTGATACCCAAAGGTGTTAGAGGTTGCCTTTCATTTTTTAAAGAAATTATTGAGGTTTCACAGTGGGAAGCAAAGTGATTTCACAGCAGGAAGCAAAAAAAAAGACTGGAAGCAGTAAAAGAAAAATCCTTAAATCACATTCACATTTCATATACTTGATTTGTGCTCTGTAGTTCTTTGCCAGCAGCTGAGATACCTGAGCAGTAAGGATCAGGCTTTACCTACAACTCTCTTTCATCAGCTGGATGACATTCAAAAGTACATTCCGAGAAAGCAGATATAACTAGTGGTCCCAGTGGGCTGGATTTTTCTTAGAAATCTGTTACCAACAAAAAATAAACCCTACTCTTCCCTGAAATTATTTTACAGGTCCCCAAAATTCACCCACCCTGTATTACCCACCTTGACTGTATTACTAGTCAAGACTGGACATGCATATACTGAAATAGTAATAATAAAAATCAGACTACTCAAGCAGCATGGTGATTGCATTAGATACAGTAACAATAGTTCCAATCTTATTTTCAGAGAGCTAATTGAGAAAAATTTAGTGAATTTCATGCAGAGCAATCTCCAGAAGCAAACATATCATACACAGACCTGCAGTTATGAAGACTTAATTTTGAAAGCAGTATCTCTCCAAAGACAGAGACTGAAACTATATTTGGTCTTTTCTTCAGGGTTTTAGAATTGGAAAGACGACAATTCATTATGGCAAATGATTATAATAATGTCTTTCCCTTCTATGCAGACAATAAACGTAGTTCAAAAAAACAATGTGGGAAAGTAGCATAAAAAGTCAGAGTGGAAAAAAAAAAAGCTATGAGGTGGGAGAAGAGGACATCCCAAAAGCCAGAAATCTAAACTTTCATGCTGCATGCCAATCAATGAAACAGGAAAACATGTCTTAGTATTTATTGACCTGCAGAGCCACTTAAGGCAGAGATGAAAATCAACCACTTAATGCAGTAGTATGATGACCATTTGCTTCAACTACAAATGCAGACCATGTCTTTTTAGCATAGAAAAAGTATTATCCATTAAAAGAGGAAAAGAAAAATATCAAGGACCACATAAAAGTATGATAAAGAAATTATAATGGTAAGGACAAATGAGCAGCCATACTGTGTCATAGCAAAGGTCCATTTAATTTAGGACTATCTTGCACTTTGACCTATAGATTTTGCCTT